TTCTATTTTACAGTGCCTGCCCCAAATATTTTGGCTCAGTATATTTTTTCCATAAGAAAAATAAAGTAACAAGTCGACAGCACAGTCTCGCTGATTTATCTGACTGGAATGTATCGTTTTTGCAGACAATATGTCAGAATTTACTGTTGGAGATTCGACTGTAACTGCAGGAACATGTGTCAGGTTGAACACGTCACGTGCCAAGGAAATGGCTACCACTGCTGCTCGTAGAAGTTTGTGACGCTTTACAATTTGTGTTAGTTTCAGTGAAGATAAAGACGATATACTAATAGCCACACAGGATATTTAAGTCCTGGATCATGATCAAATGTGTGCTGTTAAAACAAAGACAATGAATGACAATAAACCAAAGTTTTTTTATTCCTTTTATTTCTTTTCAGATTTACAAAAGATACTCCACGGTTTAAGGATGAGCTGGATGTTATGAAGTTCATATGCAAGGACTTTTGGACCAGTGTTTTCAAAAAGCAAATTGACAACTTACGAACAAACCACCAGGTCACCCTTTAAATCTTATTGTTTCTGATTTGATGTCCAAGCTCCAATCTTTTTTTTTTGGTCCTGAATATCAATTCATTTTTTGCCAATGAATGCTGTTATGTTTACTGATGTTGTCAGCATCCTGATAAAGCAGATTGTGCTGAGTCCTGTACTATCACTTTTAGGCACATTGGGGGGGGGGGGGCAGTATAAAGGCAGCATGTGAAGATGTTATAGATGTGCAAAAATATACATATGTGATGGTTTTCAATCTCATTAAAGGAATCTTCCTACAAAAAATGTGAAGCATTGTTGCTTCACACCCACTGCAAATAGGTAATTATTGACTGTAATGCTGCAGTGAATAGTAGATAAGGTGTATCGGCCATCTATTGGTATCAGTCGATACAGCCACAATCGGCTATTGGCCCATGGTGGAAAAATGAGCCAATATTTATAGTCGGAAATTCTATTTAAAATGGTGACCCATATTGCTTTGCGCTCCCGCGTCCGTGGACTGGATACCAACTGAACTGCAAATTAATCTGGACCCAGCTGATAATGCACCTTCTGAAACTATATGGTTAACATCAAACGGCTTAATGTGGTTCGAAGTACAAAAATACAATGAAGAACTAAACTTTGCACACACATAACTCATCATAATCCCCCCATGACAGAGATTTGAAATGATCAGTGAGTGTTAAACCAGTCTTTACGTTACGTTCTCATTTTTGTTATATATTTATGTCTATATAGAAAGTTGTTAGTTGTAAAGTTCATGAGATGCTGTTTTCTTGTTTCAGACCTTGGATTTTGAACAAAAATCTTATGTTCACCTTTGAACAAAAAACTTTGAGAACCCCTGGTTTAAACCATACTATCGTGTGCCTTATAGTAAAATATATTTTTTTTTATTAAAAATAAAAAAAAACACATTATTGATATACTTTCAAACCGTAACTCGTTGGTAAGCTGGTATGGGAATGTCTTCACTTTGGGTGACACATCATTAAAAATTAAGGCAAATATTCAAATAGGAGAATATAGACTTATAGATAATATAGGACCCCTACTGTATGTAGATAAATTCTGTAATATAGACTTTGGAACAGCTCCTGTTTGGGTTATTCAAAGTGAAATAAAACATAGCACATCAGTTTATGTATATGACATAGAAAAATGGGTGAAAAATATAAATGCAAATAACCCAGTCACCTAAATGTCCCTCGTGAATTTTTTGGCAGTTTGGACGATGCAATAGTATATAATGATGTCATCTGATAACAAGTAATAACACAAGTGTTTGTTTCATAGGGTATTTATGTACTGCAGGACAACAAATTCCGGTTGTTAACACAGCTCTCTGCTGGGAAGCAGTACCTAGAGCATGCTCCAAAGGTCAGTATAAGCCAGGTCACTGCAAAGGGAATTTCGGCAAAGCAAAGAGTTACCAGTGTTTCTGTGCCAATTATCCTTGACTGCATTAACTGTGGCTGGTTATTTGTGGTGTTTGTCTTCAGTACCTAGCATTCACCTGTGGACTAGTCCGAGGCGGGTTGTCCAACCTTGGTGTGAAGAGCATCGTCACTGCAGAGGTCTCAGTCATGCCTGCCTGTGAGTGGAGCTTTGTGGTAGTCGGCTTGAGAATTAGTACAGCTACATTCTGCAAACTAAAGTGATGGGGACGTGCTTATACAGTGGTACCTTAGAACTCGAACTTAATCCATTCAGAACTCGGGTTTGAATCCTAAAAAGTTCGAGTTCTGATCGAATTTTCTCCATAAAAAATAGTGGAAAACCAATTAATTGGTTCCCAGCCCCCAAAAAATACACCTAAATATGTTTATTTTAATTTTTTTTTAAGCATTTAAACACAAAATGAACAGGATAAAACAAGAGCATATACTAAACACATCTAAGCACATTTATTGAAACAGTAATTTGTAAAGTAAGAAAATAAATGTATCCAAACAATTTGTAAAGTTAAAAAAAAACCAATGACCGCTTTTTCATAAACCCAGACACAGCACTACTAACCTGAGTCATACTAAGGGTTTGTATTTAATGTAGGAACAAAAACAAAACATTTTAATAAATGAGAAAAGAATTGAGAGAGCGTGTATGCCATGCGGTCCATTGTTTATTTTTATTATTACTCTTTATTCGTTAATTTGTTCATAAATCATAAACTTTTAGGTTGTAACATTTGTACAACTATTGTGTAACTTTTTGGTGAGCAATGGCTACCAAAATGATATAAGGTACAGTGTATTACCTGATATTTTCAATAAAAAAAGCATTCTCACCAACAAACGATACTGTCACAGCGAATGCAAGGCTTAGTCTGAAATGTTACCTTTAGTTTCCGCTGAGAGACGTGCCATGTGACTCATTTCCTCGCGTGTACAAGTTATCTTAGGTCGCCGTTCACAATTGGACTTCTGAGATTCAGATCGAGTTCTAGGTCATTTTTTTTTCAAACTGGTTGGTTCGACTTCAAGTTCAAGTTCTAATAAGTTCGAGTACTGAGGTACCACTGTATTTCAAATTTGCAGAAAAGTAGCAGTTTACTACTGTCTGAATGATTTAGATATTGATACATTTACAGCATAGTTCTTTGCATGAAATTATTATGATAGGTGGCTAGCAAGGTTTTGCTCTGATGCTGATTTCTTTTTTAACAGGTAAATTTCAAGTTATGATACAGAAGGTCTAGCTCCAAGAAGATTACCGGATGTTCTGTTTGAGTCCTCAAACCCCTACATGGACTTGAGACTTATGTAATCACCTGTTTTTGGTTTTTAAATAAAAAGGGTTGCCGTGTGTAGGATGATTTAGCGTAGTTGTCGTCCACTTGCCATTAGTAGCATCAGTGATATTTTGACTATAACTTTAATCAAAAAACAGATTAGGGATCTTTGATTATCATCAGACTGTAATGTTCTTTTAATTCTCCCAGATCTTTTACTTCACATAATATTGTTAAGATCACATATGTGAAGATGTGTCAGGCCATAAAGCAGGGGTGTCTAGCCCTGATTCTTGGAGCTGGAATCATGTGCGTTTTGAAATATATTTTTCTAAGTACCTGACTTAACCATGATAAACTGGGTAAGGTGACCCAAAAAGTTTCAGTATAACAAAAGATAACAGTGCTATAACAACAAGAATTTCCTGTAATAGCTTATGAAAATCCGTGTTTGCATATATGTATGGGTTATTGTTTATTTCCATGCATTAATGTCAATAAATTATAAAAACAGTAAAAAATTACAATATGAAAAGAGACTTGTAATCTGTGTAATATTTACTACCATCCACAAATGGCATTTATTTTGTGCCAGTGGAAAAAAACCCTCCTGTACCATAGCTTGTATGTATTTTAAAAATATTTTGTTTGATTAACAAATGAAAAAACTATAAGGCAATCAATTCAGTGAAAATATTGATTAAACAGAAGGCAGCATACAGGGTGGGAAACTGTGTTAGGAAACTAAATGTATTTGATTGTGAGAAAATAGTAATTTTTCAATGTATTCCCATGCAACATAGAGTCAGGGTGGGTGAGAATGAAAACCAGATACAGCATATTTTCTTATGAGCTTATCTTCCCAAGTGTGACAGTCCACTGATATGACCATAAGCAAACCATTAAGCAAAACAGGCCAAATGGAATGATAAAAAGTGGCAGAGGTCTAGCAATTAAAGAATTAGAAAGGGGGTAGCTGCTTTAACACCCATATGCTTGTATTTCTATGTCACTGCTTAAACAACTTGTCATGCTCATGATATACCTAACTCATGGCTATTCCTGACAGTCAAATTTAAACTACACAAAGAGCTTTATTTTAATGTCCTAGAACTGAAATAAGATACCTCCATGCAAATGCTCAAACACTTTTCCTCAATTATATTTTCTATTGCCTGTCGCCACTAAATTCAGAAGCATATGAAATTAAAACAATACACATACCTTTTTTCAGTCTCTGTAGGAACCTTGCTGACCAAGATTATCTGTTGTATTAAAGAAGTTCTAAAAGTTCCCATGTTTGTCTACTCTCAAATTTAACTGTATAATATTTAAATTACAAATTTTTGACTATAGGATTATTGTGGAAAAGCACTGTTTTTCCAAACCAAAAAATCCCAATAAAGTGGGAAAAAAGAGCTGGGAGAGTTAAAGAATCATGCTGTAGAACGTTTATCAAACAAAACTATAGATCATAACATACTGGAAAGCTAAATGTCAAAAATCTAATTTGGACTTGATAAGATTATTATCCTAATCCAACCTGCTAAGGAAATCCTCACCGGTGATATTAACATAGTTACAGCATAAACCTGTAACCCATCAATGTTAGGGTGTGTATTTAAGATGTTTGAAATTCCGGCATATTTCAAACGAAAGGCATCTTGGGTAACTTGCAAACGAAACGTGTTACGCAGTGATACATGTAGCCAATAAGAGGCGACGGAAATGTGGGCGGATGCAGGCGATAGGTTCGTTTGAAAAAGGGGCACTTTCAAATCACAACTCGGCCGTGGCTTCTAACTTATTTGAAGCGCAGTTTTGGTGGATTTTGCGTTGTTGCATTACTCGGTCAATATAGATATATATTTATTTTTTTCCGGAACATTAAATCTACTTTTTATAAGCCTGGTTTTTTTTTAATAAGGTAAGTGTAATTTGTTTACAGACTTACGAAAAACGTTAGCTGATATGTCATATTTATGCGAAAGCGATCCGATTAACTATTGTCGGTCTTTGAAAACGTTAAATATGTATTTAAGGCCATGCTAGTTTGGCTGCTAGGTATACTAATGAGATAACAGTTGTGTGCTAGTTAAATCTTTGCTATATTAATGTGTAAATTATGCTTAAACATTCTTTTGTTGTGTTATTTTGTGCAGCTATCATCAGTTGTATTGTGAGCTAGTATACATGATTAGTGCTTTTCTGCAAATCGAGCACGAGTTTTAGTCTTTTGTGTTTAGAGGTGTAAGTTGGGGGATGGGATGGAGTGGGTTGGGAAGAGTAAGTTAATATTTGTAATTTATCGTTTGTAGTTGTGCTACCAGAGCTGGGTTATTTGATACTAGTTGCCATTGTGGTTTTGTTTCTCTATATAAGTGCAATGCAAAATTTGGAACTTTAAAGGGGTACTGGCCTAAAATGTGGGACAGAAGCATTTTAATTATCTAAAGGAATCGAATGACCAGTGATTCGTGAACTGTGTGAATTACTAGACATGTGCATTCTGTGCTTTTATGCGTCCAGGAAGCAGACGTGGCCGCAGAGATGGACGCGCTACAGAGCCAGTCGGCCGATAAATACGAATATGACGCGCCCGCACACATCATAGACATGGAGGCACTTGAAAATGAGGATGGTGCCGATGCGTGGTTTGGTAAGCAATTATCAATGAGAGAGGCGGATGTTTTCCATATTATTATTCAGTACCTGTTCATCGACGTATTTTAAATAATTGTTGCAGATCAGGTACTCGCTGACACCGATATTGGAGGCCCAGATCAGCTCATAACGCCCCACAAGCCTGAGAAACCTTTGGGAGGTTCAGTTAAAGCAAATTTGCCTAGAGCCGTTGTGTCCCCTAGGAGGAAAACTGTGAATTCCGATACAGGTGATTTCCCAGCCTTTTTGTTCTTAGTGTAAAATTGTTCTTAGTGTAAAAATACAGAGAGTGTGGGCCCCTTGAAACATCTTTATTGTAATTGTCACTCATTTGGTTGCAATAAACCAGAGGCTGCTGCAGATGAGGATCCAGCCACTTCTGATGTCCCTTCAAACATTGTTACATCCTGGGGTAACGGCAAGCCTTCCGCGGCGAATCTGGCCCAACCACGCAGGTAGGTGGCGTTGCCTCTGTCATTAACCATGCTTGGCCATCATGAAGCTGATGGCCTGGATCAGAATGGAAAGTTTTTATTTTGAAAATTTGTGAGGACAACCAAAAGTCAGACTATTCCTGAGTACGGTTCCATGCGTGTGCTGTCCCCAAGGGTGTCGAAGCGCCGTGAGATGGCCTGGCGTGAGGAGAAAAGGAAGAATGCCGCAGCACCTGGCACGCCACCTGTCAAGAAGCAGCGAAGGTAATGTGCATGACGTCAAAGGAGATGATGTCTGGTGCCATGAACAAGATCTAGTCCAGGTTTCAGGTAATGGGTTGCCATGTGAATGTGTTGCGTTTTACAGGAGTGTGGCAGTACTGCCTGTACCAAGAACGTTACGTCAGCGAAGGTAGAGGTGTGTCTGTATATGTGTACCACATGGGGTGGTATCACGAATAACTGCAATTTAAGGCATAAGATACTAATGGGGCACTTTGTGGATGTATGTTCTCTGGTGGCTCACATGTTAGAATTTCACCCTATTGGCCACTGGTTCCCACTGCACATGAGTTCATTTCTGGTGTGGTACTTTGTGATGTGTTGTTCAACTTGAGACATCTTAATCCTAATATTGATATCTATAATTGGAATTTATGAATGAAAATTGATTGCTGGGTAGAATTGGTTAGAATCAGTTTTGAGCCGCTTTCAGACCTGCACTGCCAACCTGGACTCTTTTTTTTTTTATTTTTTTTTATTTTAGATATTACCTGTAGGCACAGTATGTGTGAATGTGTGGAAGGACAACTCCGGAAAGTATTTCCGGAATATTTCTTTTTAAAAAAGAAAAAAAGAGTAGAGCAGATTTCCCCCAGTCTGATCCATGGGGACAACTCCGGATAATGTTTGGACCTGGTTCTCAGGACAGTATCCAGAGTGCATATGTAAAGTCGACTTTGGGGTTATCGGACATTAAATGAAGATATGGCCAGTTAATGTCTCATTAAGCCAACTATTGTATAGGGTAATGAATCCAAATGTCTAGCCCATTCGCTTTGAGCGAAACTGTTCTCAAGATCTCACAACGTCAAAGAATGCAGTCTTTTTAGTCGTGTGCAGTGGCTTATGAGCTGTACTTCCTGAGAGAGGCTTCTTGCTTGCTGGATTCCTGCTTTGGTTAAGTTGGTATAGCAAGGGGTTTGGGTTGTAAAGCATGCAAACATGTCTGCCTAAGAGTATAATGCAGTGATGGATGGGCTTACTCGTTGCAGGAGCTCATCCTCCCGGTCCCTGCGGCGTAGTGCGTCTTCTGGGGCTGTTGCTCAGAGGGTCCCCCAGAAAGCTCCGGGCAAGACTAAGCCTGCTGCATCCACAGCCATAAGGTGATTGTTAGCATGAAGTTAGCATGGCTGGCCTGAGTTCATGGGTTCCTCTTTGAACAGAAAAGGCTGACCTCTGTTTCTTTTTCGAGCCTATGCCCAATCATAATCATTTTCATCCTTGCTGTTTAAGATCACTCTGAGTTTCTGAGAAATGTTACGCATTTTGAAGTCCTTTTTTGTTTCATAAGGATCTCCATTTATTCTACAAAAAATCATGTTGGAATGTGATTTGCTGAGAGCATATGGATGATGGAGATTAGGGCATGAGTTTCCATATGTCTCCCATCCAGGAGGGCAGCATCTCAGAAACATAAGAGCTCAGAGCAGCAGGAGCTGGAGCACATTGCGGCTCTGCAGAAGGAGACCGCTGAGCACCGCAAGAAGAACGAAGCCAGCCTCAAGGCTGCTATGGCAGGAAGTAAGTTGCGTCCCTTTTTTTCCTCTTTGGTCATCATCCTCTATTGTAATATAACAGTGGTTAGGCACCTATTAATTTTCTTTCAGTGCTTGTTAGTTGTACCTGACTTCAATTTATTTTGTCTTTCACATCTAAATCTTACCTGTGACAAGCCTATTCTCAAAATTAGGTGTGTGAAGACGAGTGGTTATGCAGTTTGTGCCGTCCCCCCCCCCTGTTTCTTGCTTAGGCCAACCAGCAAAGAAGCCTACTCTGTGCACCACAGTGCCAGTGGACTTTCACTTCCGCACTGATGAGAGGCTGAAGGCCTCAGAGACACCCTCCGATGCCGCCTACAAGACGGTCGATTTCGCAGCACAACTGCGCAAACACCCTTCCTCCCCGGTATGCGGGCCTGTTTCTGCTGCTCTTGCAGCTTGTGTCCTTGAATCAGAAGCAGTGGTTTCGGTCACTTTAACACAAACAGCTCGGATACTAAGTGCTGATAGTTGAGATGATTGACAAATATTATCGACTACTCATAATGAATATGCCTACACTGGGAAGTTCTGTACAGAGTAAATGCATATTGTACTGTCTTGGCAGCTGTAAGCCTAACGACCAGGGTTTTAAAACGGTACAGTTGGTGGCTCATTCTTCCTTGCTATGGTATAATGCAAAGTTCTTTCTCTGTGACAGGCAAAGGCTCTGAGGGGTGCCACTGTGCCCAAACCCTTCAACCTGTCAACTGGCACCAAGCGCAAGTTTGAGGAGACCAAGCCCTTCGTGCCCATGGCCCAGATGATAGAACAGTTCCAGAAGCAAACCCCAACCCGCTACCACCTCCGCAGCCGGCAGAGGGACGAGAAGGGTATGTTTCACATGGAAGGGACACTCGCCTTCGTCGTACGCTGCGCTGTAAAATTAACTGAAGTTTCTGTTTCAAGGTCCATCACCAGTTAAGACGGACAAGATGAAGATCACCAATCCCCATACTCCGCAGCTGATGACCAGGCAGAGAGGCCGTCCAGTGGCGGTGAAGAGTACTGCAGAGTTGGAGGCGGAGGAGTTGGAGAAAATCCAGCAGTAGGTCCCACCCCCCTCATGGCAATTTCACCTGCTCTGGGTTCCTTGCCGAACTCATAGCTGTAACTACAGCTTCATGCACTCCTTGCTCCAATCGATTCCACCATAATCAGCCACCTTTAGGCCTGTCTCTTATTCCAAAACCCCTTATTTTGTGCTGTTCCTCTGTAGGTTTAAGTTCAAAGCCCTGGAGCTGAACAGGAAGATCCTTGAGACTGCTTTGGTGCCAAAGAAGCCAGTCCCGCGGGAGATCACGCATCCGGAGGGCTTCGATCTGGAGATCGAGCGCAGGCTGCAGGCGCGCCAGGCCAGTAAGAAGCAGGAGGAGCCTGTGGACCACACCTTCCACTCCCGGCCGCTGCCCACCCGGATTCTCGAGGAAGTGGTGGTATGTTCCACACCTGCCTGTTAATGTCTGCCTCAACCTGGCTGTTTTTATTTTATTTGATTTATTTTTCCATTGATTACTCTTGCTTCCCAGGGGGTTCCTGAGAAGAAGGTGCAGAACCCAACTGTTCCTGAGTCTCCAGCCTTTGCTCTCAAGAATCGTGTTCGTGTGGAGCGCAAAGTGGAGGAGGTCTGTCCATCCTGTTTTTGGGGGGGGGTTTCTCACATCCTGTCTTTCAATCTCTAGTAATGCATATATTGTCGACAATTATACAAATTATACAATTGATCTTTGCCAACACGCAGAGTTCTATTTTACCATCGTGTGATTTTTATGGACGGAAATGAACATGATTTAGTGCTGCATCTGGTTTCAGAAGGGGGAGCCCTTTCATATGTAACGGCTAATAGAGGGACGCTTCTGTTTTCCCAGTTATGTGCAGTGAGGGGAGCCCATTCCAAAATGATTTGGCAGGCTGCTTCTGTCTGATGCTGTGCTTGGCAGTGTTTCTTGCCAAGTGTTTTGCATGCTGGGGTTGTATACCAGACTAAGCTGTCACTGTCATGTTTGCATGAGGGTGAAACATTATGTGTATTGGGTGAGACTGGTCTGTATCTGAAGGAACAACTTTGTTAGTCTTGAATGCTCACTGACCTCTTCTGTAGGCATCGGTTAGAAGGATTTGTAGGTTTTGATGAACTTGAAACATGAAATTCCTTGACTGCTACTTTCATTCAGTCCTGCAGACTGTAACAAGTGTTTGTGCCCAGGTGAAGCCAGCCCCTCTGATCCGGGCCAACCCCGTCCCCCACTTCGGCCTGCCTTTCCAGCCAAAGCTGCAAGAGATGCGACAGGTGGAGGTGTGCCCCTTCTCCTTTGAGGCCCGTGAGCAGGAGCGTATAGCACTGAAGGAGAAGAGACTGGAGGAGCAGCGACGTGAGGAGGTGCTCTTCGTGAACTTATTAGCTTAGCCTGACAGGATTTCTATACACGCATCCATGCTTGCCAACTTCCTGCAGATGCCACTTAAGCCTAGTTCACACTTCAGTTTTCAGTACACACTTTCAGGCTGCTGACGGTCGTCTGCCTGGCAGCTTGTGTTCATACTGCATTTGTCTGCGGGTGCAGACGGCTGTGGTCGGTGCATTCATACAGCAGTGTTATTCCCCCAGACCAGGAGAAAGTATAGTGCAACAAACAGAAATACAGGCAGTGTAGTGAAACAGGTAAACTTTTGCAAAAAGTTTTAAAGACTTGGGGGGGGGGGGGTATTACGGTAATAAGGCATACCACTATATTTTGAAATAAGCTGGGATCCCGCCCGCTCAGGCAATTTTATTATCAAGATTTCAAAATGCCGGAACAGTGCTGCTTTTTAAAATACCGTACATCTAGATATAATATCCAGACAGTATGGAAAATTAGATATGCAGGGACTCTCTCCTCATGCACCTGCTCACCATAGCTACCACAACAGCTATTCTTTGACTCGTCATTGTCTGCTGATCTGTGAAAGTTGACGCTACCAACCTACTGGAAATGTTAAATCAATTATCTTGCACATGGACGTGCAAGGTTTCCACTAGGGCTACACGTGCACTGACTGCAGCCGTCTACAGCCAGCCCCTGATGACGAAATTTACATCATGTCACCTCAACCATGGAACCGTATGAATCTGATTTATGCTGCCGTTTGAAAACCTTGTAGGTCCACAAGTTCAAGGCCCTGCCGCTGCCTGACTTCCATGAGGTCCACCTTCCTGAGAAGAAGCCGCTGGAGCCCACCAAAGCCGAGCCCTTCCGACTCCTCCTTGATGAGCGTGGAGTTGCCAAGAGTGAGCGCTGGGAGCTAAAGGTGACTCACGTCCCTCTGTGAAGAGCAGGACTCCCACATGTGGAATGAGTTGGCCTTACTTGGTGGCTCTTGCCCATGGGGTTCGAGAGCATCATGTTTGAAGTTTAGATGCTGAGCTGTACCTTTCCACCATGCAGATGAAGGAGGAACTGAAGCAGCAAGCTGATGCAGCCAACTTCAAGGCTCGTCCCAGTGCAGTTGTCCATAAGGAGCCCTTTGTACCCAAGAAGGAGAATCGCCCAGCATTTGGTAAATGTCCTGTAACCTGCATTAGCTGTTTGAGCGATTTTAACTTTTGCTTGTTCTTTTGCTTTTGCACTGGTTGCCTGTCACAAGTAATGTATGCTGGGCTTCATTGTTGCGTCTAACTGCTTTTCGTTGGGTGTCTTTCCTTTCTCTGTCGCCCTCCTGCCCTTATAATCTCCGCCCCCTAACTTTGGGCCCTTCTTTAGAAACCATTTCTCACTCTACAGTGTCAGACGTGTTCCAGTTGAGTACAGAACGAAGGGCTAAAGAAAGGCAGGAGTATGATCGTGCCATGTCTGAGAGGGAGGCTCAGCGGGCACACATGGAGGAGCAGGAGAGAAAGGAGCGTGAGGAGAAGGAGAAGGAGGAGATTACTCACCTCCGACAGGAGCAGGTAATATAGATCCTAACTGTCAAGATGGGCACTTGGATCTTAATGTGGTGAGGAGAAATTTTGCTATCATACTGTGATGGAAAATGATCACCTCAGTCCAATACTTTTTCTTTTCCTCCTTTACTGTCCAATACTTGTGCAATATGCTGGTAATTCACCAGCTTTCTACATTGGGGTAGAAAGGACAAAATCCCACATAACCCTTAAAATTAGGCATTAGTCTTCATGTCTGTGAATCTGTGTAATTTTTTTTTCTTTCTGTACACAATTACCGGTAACCATAGCATGGTTAGAGCATGGCTCCATTTCAGTAATATTTTAAAATCTTTCTCTCTTCCCCTTCCAGGTTCACAAAGCACAACCAATCAGGCGCTACAAACAGCTGGAGGTGAAGAAGAGTGAGATCTCACTTACTGTGCCCCAGTCTCCCAACTTCTCTGATCGTTTCCGTTTTTGAGGCCCTCTGGATTGCTCCCTCTTAGCAGCATGTCTAATGGAAAGGAGGGTTTCCCCTCAGTATTTCTTTTTAAAAAGAATGGAGTAGAGCAGATTTCCCCCCAGTCTGGTCCATGGGGATTCACAGACAATCCACGTTTTTGCTCCAGAGCTGGGAGAGAGCAAAAACATGGACTGGCTGTGGGTCCCCGAGGACTGGATTGGGAAACGCCGGAGTACAGATTGCAGTTACTGCTGGAGTGCCAGCAGTTAGCACAGGAGCAGATCTCCAGTGCTGCCCTCTGTGGTGAATGGAATTGGCCTGTTTTGTATATACAATGCCTACTCTTCTTATATCCTGTGTGTTTACTTAAATGCTTCAGTTTTTCTGTTCTGAATTTTGTATATTTTACATCAAGTCTTATCCCGAAGAATAATTTATGTACATTTCTACCAGTCGGTTTACAATAAAAGACCTTTTTAAAAACACAGTGCTTGTGTTGATTTAGTGGTTTTCCTCATCGTCCTGCCATCCTCGTCCATCCCTATTCTCAGGTTGGTACATCCTGTGCTGCGACCAAAAGGGTTTCCCCTTTCAGGCAGCGTGTGAACAATGCCAAGGGAAGGTTATTTCTGCAGTCTCATTGAGGGCTGGGTGCAGGCAGCCACAGCCAAGTTCAATCCTGCGTTATAAGATTGATCTTTCTGTTCGGGCAGCTGCTGCTTTTTGTTTTGGAAGAATTAAGCTTGTGGCATTTTTACTGCCTGTGGGCGGGGCTTGGCACCCCCTCTGTACACCGTCATATTTGAGTTTTGTTTAAGTGCTTAAGTGTGTCTGACTTTGTGTTTCTGTGTGGCTTATTTTTAAATTGCTGTTAATTATGATACTTTGGTCACAATGACTTATTCCAATGTGATTCAACCAAATACCAATTAGGGTGGTACTTAAGTGATTTTTGAATTTCTAGGGTTGACAAACTTTTAAAATATATCACCCAGGAATGTTAGCTTGCAGTTTCTGCATGTTATGTCAATATGTTCAGTCTTAATTGGCTTGTCTGCCTGTCAATGTTTTTGTGGATATACTTTTTGACTTAAGCGAGTCAGAATCACATGACAAAGTATCATTTTTCACATCTGGAACAAAAATGCAAGGATTTAGTTCTATCTGTAGTTTTGATTCTATGGTGAAATGGGGATACAGGAAGATGTGAATGCAAATGAAATGCAAGTACAATCTGAACATGAGTACTGTTGGTGTGGTTTACTGTGTCCGCTTTATGCGTTTCTTGTGTTGGTATGGAAATAGTATTTCTAGCAAAGCCAAAAACCTGCACCAGCTTACTGTATGCTGCTTCCTGCCAGGTCTGAAAAGTTCATGCTGAAATGCAGCCCTATTTGTCCATCTGCCTCACTTGTGTAAAAAAACAAAAAAAAACAAAAACCAGGTAACAATCTTTAAAGCTCAAGGCTTTTTTTTGATGATTAAATATTCAAGAAAATGTGCTGTGTTGCCCTTGAAGTCTATCTCTCCACGAAGCTGACTAACTTTTCACCCTGTTCAAGAAAACCTCCTGAGCTACAGGTATACATCTGTTTCCATTAATCACTGTTCTCCCTGTTAGGGGCAAGAGTTCCAACATGAACTAAAATAGGACGCAGGAAAACAGTCTGTGTAGCAGTGACCCTCTTGGTTGTCCCCCTCCTTTCTCTGTCTTTCCTCCATTGTATTCCTATGATATAAATGCCAACCCCCCCCCCCCCCCCCTTAGTGGTAAAATCCTAGCTCCTACGTCCTCCATCCAAACACAGGAGTGTTTTTGTCTGTGCGTTCAATGGAGAGGAATGGAAAAAACTATCTGTCCCCTCCTCTTCCAAGCAGGCATGACATTCATTTGGCCTTCCTCACATACCTCTGTTATCAAAGCCTGCTAACAACACCCCCTGCCCCGGTCATTTCTGCTGGCCCCTATATTTGGAGCTGTGCATACAGTTGATGGAGATAGTGCTGGCATCTGACAGGCTGTACCAACCCATCAGCCTTTTCCATAATGCTGGATGTCCCTGGGCCTCGGGGAGTCATGCTCGACACGTGTTCAGTGGGGCCGAGCTGCTCTCTTTGTCCTGCCATGTTAACCTGGGTGTTGCGTATTTGTGAGTGAGGTGGGGGGGTGGGGGGGTGGAGTTAAGAATTACTGCTGTCACTTTAGGTATCGTGGCTGTTAGTCAGTATATGTCCGAGCGGCATGCTATGGGATCAGAGAGAAGACCTTCCAGCAGCAGTATGGAGATGACAGCGCTGGAGGAGAAGGTGGACACCCTGAGCCGGGCACTGGAGCAGCTGCTGTCGCGTGCAGTGTGCGCGCAGTGCGGTGCCTGCCAGTGGCACGCCCAGCAGCAGGAGGAGCAGGCTCGGCGCCTGGAGGCCCTGGAGCGGCTGGTGCTGGCCATGCACGCGCTCTTACAGGGGCCTGTGTCGGTTGTGCCTGAGAAACTGAGGCTGCCAACTGGCCGTGAGGGGGCCAACAAGCCAGGGACCCAGCCTGCACCTGAGAAGGAGCTGCCAAACAGGACCTCATCCTCCCTCAGAGTGCCGCTGGGGTTACCCACTGCAGAAAGAAAGGTGCTTGTGTTTGTTTTTCTTGATATTGAAAAGGGCATCCCACTGTTGTACTACAGAGAATAGGGAGTATTTTTAACCTGTTATTTATTAAATTTGTGAAGTGTAAAACTGTATGTTAGAGCATCTAAAAAATATGTTTGGTTGGTATAAAAAGAATTTATCCAATTGTGTTGTTTGGTAACTTATTTTGCAGAACTAAATGCTGAGCAGACTTTGGTTAAATATCTTTTGTAAAGTACATTCCTTTCTGCAGTGCTCTTCTGTTTTTTGCTTTCTTCCACTACTTACATACCCTTACAGTTTGCTCACATTCGCCGGTTCCTCACCGCCCCTTAGCATTTCATTCTTCAGCCTTGCTTTCGTTTTGATGGTGTGTCATTACATTTTGATTGGTTGCCTTTGGTCTACTGGAAATTTCTTCTGTAATTTCTCTACCCATTCTACAGGAGGCGCTATTTAATTTGGGAAACAGAAGTCAGAGCGTAACACTACGGGATACCCAGCCACCTGCCAAAAGAGGTGGGAAATAAACGTTTATTTCTTGTGAAAGTGGGTCGCTGGAATCTAAAAAAACATGGACTTTATCATTGTAGAAAATCTTTATCGAAATTTCTTACTGAAATTAGATTTTGTTCTTTGATCTTGCATCATAGGTGCACCAACACAGCAGATAGATGAAGAGGGAAAGGCAGATAACAAGGGTCAGAGGGTATTCAAGACAAACCGAACAGAACTTGCACCCTCAGCACAGTCACCCAGAGTCAATGTCCCCAAAGTGCAGGAAGGATCCGTGAGGACAGAGTGTGACAGGAGCGGGAGAAGGAGGAAATCCTTACCTCAGACAAAGCTGGGGCTCAGAGAGGGGAAGGAGGCTGGAGGCAGACAGGGAGATGGAAAAGAGCCGGGCAGCGCTAGTCAGGGAGAGCAGCGACAAGCAGCGTGCGCCGCGGCTAAGGAGACATCTGGCAGTGTGCTGACAGAGCCCAAGGCCAGCAGGAAGGCCTCCTTGCCAAACGCGTCGCTGGTGACAATTCCTGAACCCGAGAAATCGAAAACGCCAGACGAGCTCGCGGAGAAGTCGCTACTGACAGTTCCCAAAGCGACGGACGAAGGCTCTACGCTCCGGCATGTCAGCAGCTGCCCAGTGTCGCTGCAGAGGTAAAGTGCGAAATTCCCTGTGAGTCTGGACAGTAGCAGGGGGGTCACCAGGAAAGACTTACTGGAACTGAGGAACGGAATTGATATGTTAACTGTCAAAGGCTTTGCTGTATGTAACAATGCAAGTTGTTACATAAAAGGCAGAGGATGTCATTAACTCATTGCCTGATTGGGGAATTCCACAACAGATCAGAAAGGTTGTCAGGGCCTGTTAGAACATTTAGTGGTTAATGTGAATATTCCGTTATTATTCGGGTGTTCAATGTTATTTATTGATTTTACTGAGACTATTACACATGACCTTGGCTCACCTTATCTCCAATCTCTGTGAGCACTGCTCTTTACACACACATCTATAAAAATCGGCCCCCCAGCTCTGTCAGTCTCATTTATAGTCACTGTGGCTTCACTCAGGTTTTAATGTATACTCTTAGTCAAAGACATCCTCTGCTCCCAAAACTGCTTGTTATGCTCCTGTAAAAAGCACATGCCTAACATTCGGTGAGAGCAATACAAACTGGCATAATTCTAACCAGTCATCAATGACCTTTTTTATATAGCAAGAAAATATGTTTTAATACCAAAAACATTGATATTTTACTAATGATGGACTTAAATCTGCTACATTATTATTATTATTATTATTATGTTATCTTGAAAAATCCAACAAAAATCCTGTTTGTTTTCTTCTCCGCCCCAAATTTTCTATACGCTTCTCTTCCTACAGCTTTAGGAGTCCAATCATCAAACTTTCCACCCTTCTTCATTCCATAGTGGTGGGGTGTGCTTGTGCTTCTCTATGCTATCCCACCCACCATTTTATCGGGACATCCTGTTAAAAGGCCCCATTTTTTCCCTTCACTTCTACTGGGAGGATTTTCAAACTGCTGCCACTCTTAAAGCTTTGAAGCTAATCTCACCAAACTTGAATCAAACAGTCATGGGGTCACAATAAAGCTACTGACCACATGTGGTGGACGTCCTTGAACCCAGATCCTCTCCTCCAGCCAATCAAATTTCATCTATTCAAAGTCAATGGGAGCTAAAACTGTCACTTTTGATGGCTGTGTCCCCAAATTTGCACAGCTGGTCAATAGGTGTCTGTGGTTCAAGGTTCGAAAAAGTGGGCAGAGCCTGCAACAGCCAATCAGATTTAACTCATTGACTTTAATGGGAACATTAATCACTGTTTATATACTCCACTTTAAGTTCCCCAGAATTACAAAATGTTTTGAAGCCAACATAGAGTTTGTTCATAAACTTCCTTTTTTTAATTATTCCTATTGTTGTTATTATTATCATCATTATAGCACTTTTCATGAAAAAAATGGTGTCGTTATACTTCTTTTATTCTTATAGTTTGTTATGCCACAGTTTAAATGTATTTTACATTACAGTACATTATACTGACCTAACAGGCTGCAGAGTTCAGAAGCTTCTCCCAGCCAGCTGGCAAAGGCAGGCAATTCAGCTCCAGGATCAGCACAGAGGAAACACTCAGCGGCCTCCAGCATACAGATTGAAATCAGCCCAGCACCCGCAGCCCCTCCCAGACCAAAGGCACCACCACAGACCTGCTGCAAGGTGATAGGTACAGAGATCCGTGCGTTCCGTGCTGTAGACAAATGTGTCTGAACAGCTGAGTCTCCCTGAGAGCTGCCCTACTCTCTGACGTTACGCCTATGTGCAGCACCATGGCTGAGGGAAGGCTGCTCAGGTGTTCTGATCACTTCATTTCTCCTGGCATTATCGCTTTACATTAACTGCATCTTCGTAATGCCTTCATAATGCCTTCATAGAACATTCAGTGCACCTTCATAATGCCTTCATAGAACATTCAGTGCACCTTCATAATGCATTCATA